AATTATAGATGATAGAAACACAGTTTAACAATAAATGAAATCATTTGTGCTCTTATAACACTTACCCTGAAAAATTTCAGAGCGCTCTAGAAATATTATCCAGTTTATCTTTCATTCCTACAGCAAACATTCTTATCTTCTATTTTCTAAGTGGAAGGGGAATTTCGAGTACCTTGCTCCCAGTAGTAAGATAACAGGTAAGTGTCCCGAGCACAGATAAGCAAGGAGAATCAGATCACTCTCACCTCCACCACAGCAGCCCCTGCAGCTTCATTCAGGCTGTGACCCTCAGTATTCCCAGGCTCTCGTAAAAGCATGCTCTGATTCATAACTGGCCCCGCCAGACTCCTGTTTATGTAGCTGATCCATGTTCTTGGATCCTGAAGGGTTAAGAGCCTGGGTTGCTGTTAGAAAGAAAAGTGTGCAATTATGTTAATTTTTGCAAAAAATAAAAATGTGTAATTATATTAATCTTCTTAAAATGGGGGATGGGAAGTGCTCAAGTAAAAGAAAAATATTTGCAGAAACATGATATCAGTGCCTGATTTGAATTGGTACAAGCCAGAGCCTTAAAAACTAACTGCACAAATAATTGTATGCAATAAATAATATAGGACTCAATTTCATACTGCAGCAACTAAAGCTCATCATACACTAGAAGTACTTGTATTGGAAAAGAAACTCAAGAGATAGAAATGCTAAAATTAAGAATCTGAAAAATATTTCTCACGCCTTTATGTTGTTTCCTATGTCAAATCAATAACACTTTAAAAAAATATTTTTTTTGACAGGCAGAGTGGACAGTGAGAGAAAGGTCTTCCTTTGCCGTTGGTTCACTCTCCAATGGCCACCGCGGACGGCGCGATGCGGCCAGCGCACAGCGCTGATCCGATGGCAGGAGCCAGGTACTTATCCTGGTCTCCCATGGGGTGCAGGGCCCAAGCACTTGGGCCATCCTCCACTGCACTCCCTGGCCACAGCAGAGAGCTGGCCTGGAAGAGGGGCAACCGGGACAGAATCCGGAGCCCCGACCGGGACTAGAACCCGGTGTGCTGGTGCCACAAGGCGGAGGATTAGCCTAGTGAGCCGCGGCGCCGGCCCAAAATATTTTAAAGACTTATTTATTTATTTGAGAGGCAGAGTTACAGATAGAGGGAGAGAGAGATAGAGGTCTTTCATGTGCTGGTTCACTTCCCAAATGGCCACAAGGGATGGAGCTGGGCCAGGCTGAAGCCAGGAGCCAGGAGCTTCCTCCAGGTCTCCCATGTGGTTGCAGGGGCCCAAGAACCTGGGCCATCTTTCACTGCTTTCCTAGGCCATTAGGAGTGAGAGAGCTGGGTTAGAAGATGAGCAGCCGGGACATGAACTAGGGCCAATATGGGATGCCGTCACTGCAGGCAGAGGCTTAGCCCATTATACCACAGCACTGGCCCCTCAAACATTTATAAGAGGAAAAATGACCATGGAAAAATAGAAAAGACCAAATATGGAAATGGAGTTGGTTGACTGAGAACACTGTATTTCCTCAAGGATCCTACCTAAGTTGGTCCCACAAAGGGCCGTGGTAGGAAAAGTGAACCTAAGTTTTCATCTTAACTTTGGTAATAATATTTACTGCATTGAAACCTCAAGTGTATGACGGTGTAAAATACACTGACTACCCATATGGTACCAGTATACTAACATGATTTGCCTCAGGTGTTTGTAGTATTATCCATTATAAAACTTGCCTGGCCACATTGAGTGGTCCTGTCCAGTGAAGGAGGAGGGGCATGAACCTGACCAAAGTCCACAACCTGATCCAGCATCTTTATTTTTTTAAGATTTTATTTATTTGGAAGATAGAGTTACACAGAGAGGTAGAGACAGAGGTCTTCTATCTGCTGGTTCACTCCCCAGATGGCTGCAATGGCTGGAGCTGCGCCGATCCAAAGCCAGGAGCCAGGACCTTCTTCCAGGTTTTCCACGTGGGTGCAGGGGCCCAAGGACTTGGGCCATCTTCTACTGCTATCCCCAGCCATAGCAGACACCCTAATCCAGCATCTTTAAATACCTGCCCTGGAAGATGCTGTATTCTGAAGAATTTCCTTTCTTGAACCTCTCAGCACAGCTCATTCATTCAGACGCTTGCATTGGACATCATCCTTTGGACTCTCCCAGATGTCAGTGGAGTTAGAGAGATGGAGAGGCAGAATTAGAGACAGAGAAATCTTCCATCTGCTGGTTAACCCCCAAATGGTCAGAAGCCAGGACCTAGGATCTTCATCTGGGTCTCCCATGTGGGTGCAAGAGTCGAAATACATAGGTCATCCTCCAATGCTTTCTCAGGCACATCAGCAGGGAGTTGGATTGGAAGTGGAGCAGCCAAGACTCAAATTGGCACCCATAGTGAATGCCAGTGCTGCAGACCACGGCTTAATACACTATGCCACAGCATTGGCCCTTCATTTTACTCTTAAACTTTTGCCTTGTCTTTTTCTCAGCTGCCACATTAAAAGCTATCCCTCTTGACTACCACCAAATTTCATCCCTTTGGTTACTGTTCTTCATTTTAAGCTTCTGCCCAGGCCTCTTTGCTTATACTCAACCTATAGGCAGCCCTCTTTGTTCTGCTGACCTGTCCTTGGGACCACCAATGCTTGAGCATTCAGCACAGCGACACCATCTGGAAATGCTCATTACTACTGGTTTGAAGCCAGTGCATGTTCACGGGAGGGGGCAGATACAATATAATTATACATATGTGCCACTCATATGTTCACTTATTAAGTCATTTAGGCACTGTATTAGTCACTGGAGAAATAAGCATGGAGCAGAAAAGGAGGCAACAGATATATGGAGACTGAAACTGTGAGCTCCATATGGTTCAGTCTCTGTGTGCACAGTGTAGTTTTACAAACAGATTTCTGTATTTATTTATGCTTCTGAAAGAAGAATTAAAGGGATCCCAGCTCCACAGGCCATATTTTGAGTCTCTGATTACCCAGAGGCTCTTGCATGCTAGCTCTCCCAAACTCTTTCCAGCCCCATTGGCAACATGTCCTTTCTCTGAATTCATCATTAGGCTACTTCTAAATTGTCTTAAGCTTTGGATTAATATGCCATACTTTTACATTTTAGAGGGGTATAGTGCAAGACTTCAACACAGCATAAACTGGCAATACCAGACAACCTTACCTTTTTGGTGTGTGTTTGGAGCCTACCATCTCCTCTGTTCTAGTTCTTTATGCAGAATATTATACATCATCATAAGTCACAGTCACTGCCACTGTGCTGCAAAACCTGAGAACACTTTACATTCACCCTACTGAGTCTGGGGACCTGTTATCCAACCTCTTCTACCCTTCCCAGATTCTGGTAATCACTATTTTAAATTAGGGTCAAATATATAATATTATTACCCATTTAACTTCCACATGAGAAAGAACATGTGATATTTATCTTTTTGTGTCTGGAATATTTAATTTAACATAATGATCTTCAATTCTATATTTTATTTTTTGCAAGTGTCAGGATTTCATTCTTTCATATGTCAGAGTAACATTTCATTGTGTGTATATATAGTTCTTGACTTGTTGGTAGATTTAACTGCTTTCAATAGGTCCTGCGTCTTTCTTTTCCCTTTTAATTCCTGTTATTATCCCACTCCTTGTTCTTCCACCACAGAACAAATCCAGAATTCAGCCAACCAAAAGCGTCCTTTGGCGTATGACAGGGGTGGTAGGGGAGAAGGAGGAGAGTGAGGAGCATTGGTACCAGAGTATTTTTTCTCCATCACACATGCAATCATGTAATTACAACAGGATGTGGCACTCACAAAGTGCTCTGGACACATAAATGGAACAGTTATAGCTGTTTTGTGTTTTTAGGTAAAAGTTCTGTAGCCACTTGAGAAGAGATGGCTTTTTAGTTGCCTAAAATGCCTGAAAAACGGAGTTCAACAGGCATGAAGGGAGAGAAAGAACACCCTTGGTAAAGGGACTAACACAAATGAAGGCAGGAATATTTGAATGAGAAAGACTTCATTTCTTCCGTAGTGTCTACAGCTTAGGGTATACGTGATAGGCGGGATGGGAAATGAAAAGAAGACACTTTCCTGGGTTAAAAAGCTTGAACTCCTAAAAAATAGTTTTGAACAGCAATTTTGAAAAAGGATTGAAGATGAGCAAGACTACAGATAAGCAGACTACTGTAGTACAGTACCTAGGTGCTACTGTAGTCATCCAGTCTGTTTTAAGGCACTGAAAGGGTAGCAGTTGTCAAGGAAGTGAGCTAATTGGATCAAAAGACTCTCAGGAGGCCCAGAAAAAAATAGGACTTCATGACCAGTTGGATTTGGACAGCAAAAGGGAGAGGGGTGGCCCAGATGTCTGTCTGCTTTTCATCTTGGGGATGTAGGACAAATTTTAGTGCTACTGAATAGGAGAGGGACCACAGACTGTTCAGGGGAGAGAGGAGATTGTTTGAATGCTGATGAAGAACCCTGAAATGATTCGGAGGTGTGGAGCACGTCGGCTATCCTCACTACTGCCATCCTGGAGTGATAAGTGACAACCATAACTCTAAAACTCTCCAGTGAGGGGACTTTAAATCAGTCACCAATGTATTTTTGCATTTACTATGTATTTTTTCAGATAACCTGTTGTGATCTTAAATTTGTCATGTTGTAGTGAAAATTCAATTGCTTTGTTGCTCGGAGAAGGAAGAGTACATCTTAATTTCTCTGGAAGAAGTTTTTCTTACGGTGGAAGGACTAGTGTAGTGGTCAGCTTTTTAACTAGTGTTATTCTTCAGCATTGGCATATGCCTTGTTCACTGCTTTAGATGCTGTAGCTGGTGGTCAGTTAGTTATTCTGTTGACTAATAGATATAAACTGAAGACTGTAAAAATGTGAGAGCCAGGAGGATATGTGAAGTTACTCCCTCAAATCTTCAGTTGAAATCTTCACAGTGGAAGAAACTTTTAAGCTGCTTTAGTTCAGTTCCTTTTCTCTTCCTAGAAAGATGTAATCTTCAGTTCTTAGTGTATCTGTGGTTTTGACTGAAGCATCTGCAAGTGTTCAGTCCTCTAGCTATGGACCTTGGAGAGGACCCTACTGAATGGTATTAATCCAGAGGTAAGTACAGTGAGTGATTTACTTCTCAATTCCTACTTATGCATTCCAATAAACAACATAAGTTCAGAACAAAAATCACCCAAAAATCTATCACTTGAGTAAATCAATTTATCTATATTACATTTTAGTTCATGTCTATAGACATATTCCATTTTATTTTATACAAAAACTGCTTTATATTCTACATTCATGTTTCATTTAACATTTTATCTTGTATATTCTCCCATTTAACCATAACTTTATCATTCCTTATGTCTCCTGTCTTTGTCCATGATAATACAGCAACATATAGACAGTTATAAACATTTGAGGCCACTTCAAAAAGTTTGAGGAAAATAGAACTGAAACATAATATTTTCATTTACATTGTTTTATTTTTAAATATTTGAGTAATATACAATGCTTGGGGACAGTATTGTGGTATAGCAGGTTAAGCATCTGCTTGCGACGCCAGCATCCTATATTGGTGTGTTTGAGTCCTGGCTGCTCTACTTCCTATCCAGCTCCTTGCTAATGCACCTGGGAAAGCAGAAGCTGGCCCACGTGTTTGGGCTGTTGCCACCCATATGGGAGACCTAGAAGCTCTAGGCTCCTGGCTCAGGCCTGGCCCAGCCCTGGCCATTGTGACCATTTGGGGAATGAATCAGCAGATGGAAGCTTGCTCACTCTCTCTCTCTCTCGCTCTTTCTCTCCCTCTCTCCCTGTCTCTTTCTCTCTCTCTGTAACTCTTTCAAACAAATTTTTAAAAAAATATATCGGCCGGCGCCACGGCTCACTAGGCTAATCCTCTGCCTAGCGGCGCTGGCACACCGGGTTCTAGTCCCAGTTGGGGTGCCGGATTCTGTCCCGGTTGCCCCTCTTCCAGGCCAGCTCTCTGCTGTGGCCAGGGAGTGCAGTGGAGGATGGCCCAGGTGCTTGGGCCCTGCACCCCAAGGGAGACCAGGAAAAGCACCTGACTCCTGGCTCCTGCCATCGGATTAGCGCTGTGTGCCGGCCGCAGCGCGCTGGCCGCGGCCATTGGAGGGTGAACCAACGGCAAAGGAAGACCTTTCTCTCTGTCTCTCTCTCTCACTGTCCACTCTGCCTGTCAAAAAACAAACAAACAAACAAAAAAAAACACCTGCATCCTAGATGCAGTTAAAAAAAAGAAAAAAAAAAGAAAAAAAATATATGAAATGCTTGTATTTTTGTGGGCTACAGTGAAATATTTCAACACATATATACAGGATAAACTAATTAAACCAAGCAACTAGCTTTTCCATTATCTTACCTTTTCTTTCTGCTTGGAGCCTACCAGCTCCACTCATCCATTTCTTTATACAGTGTATAATACATTATTGTTAACTAGTCATCTGCCTGTACTTTGGAACACCTCATTTGTCTATTTTTGCCTTCTGTTTCTTGTGTTTTGAGGGTCTTATCTAAAAAAATCATTGCCTATGCCAATGTCTTAAAGCATTTTCACCATTTTTCCCTAGTAGTTTCACATTCTGCAATCCACTTTTAAGTAAATAAAAATAAACAAATACCTTTTAAAAAGATTTTTTGATGTTGAGTTGATTTTTGTAGAAGATGAGAGGTAAGGGCCAAGTTAATATGGTTTTCCCATCACCATTCATTGAATAATCTGTCTTTTCCCCAATGTATGTTTTTGGTACCTTTACCAAACTTCAGTTGCTATAGATGCTTGGATTAATTTCTGGAATTTCTTTTCTATTCCATTGGTCTATGTGGCTGTTTTTATGCCATGCTCATGCTGTTTTGTTTAAAGAGCCCTGTAGTATGTCTTCACATCTGGTACTGTTCTCTAGTTTTGTTCTTTTGCTTCAAGATAACCTGGGATATTTTGGGCCTTTCATGATTTCATATGAATTTTAGGATTCCTTTTTTCTAGTCCCATGAGAAATGGGTATTTTTGATGGGGATTATGTAGACCCTATAAATTGTTATGGGTAATATGCGCATTTTAGTAATATTAATTCTGCTAATCCATGAACATTAGAGGTCATTCCATTCTTTGATCTCTTCTTAAATGTCTTTCATAAGTGTTTTCTCATTTTTATTTTTTAAGACTTATTTTTTTTTGAAAGTCAGAGTTATACAGAGAGGACAGACAGAGACAGATACTCATACAGAGAGAGAGAGAGAGAGGGAGAGAGATCTTCCATGCACTGGTTTACTCCCCAGATGACTGCAACAGCCAAGGCTAGGCCAGGCCAAAGCCAGGAGCCAGGAGCCAGGAGCTTCTTCCAGGTCTCCCACGTAGATGCAGGGGCCCAAACACTTGGGTCATCTTCTGTTGCTTTTCCCAGGTACATTAGCAGGGATTGGAAATGGAGCAGCCAGGACTCAACCTGGCACCCATATAGGATGCTGGCATCACAGGCAACAGCTTTATCTGCTATACCACAATGCTGGCTCCTGTAATTTTTATTGTAGAAGGCTTTGCCATTCTTGGTTAAATTTATTCCAACATATTTTTTTATTTTTGTACTTACGGTGAATGGATTGCTCTTAGAATTTCTCAGTGAGTTTGTTATTGGTATATAAAAATGTTATTAATATTTTGATGTTGATTTTGTATGCTGCAACTTTATTGAGTTCATTTATCAGTTCTAAGAGTCTCATGGTAGTTTCTTGGTGTATGAAGTCATGTTATTATAAAAGTTCTGATCATAGCCAATATCTTGAGTAGTTCCTCTGTTCTGCACCAACCAGCACATTCACAGAAACTGAGAGTGACAGCGTGAAAAACAAGGAAAGATCATTAACACACACAAGAAAATATGTTCTTACCTCTAGAAGCTATTGTCAAAACCCTCAAGGGCTCTTCTTTTGCAATATCTGGAATACATTGTAAGAAATTAATTGGTTTTCTCAATCTAATCTCTAGAGTCAGCTGTGACATCACAAAGCAAGCTCACAGATGGCATCAACTAGGTGCTTTATTAGCCCAGTTAGCACTGATGCCCAAATGATATGGATCCAGCAGCCTTATCAAAATTTACATTCTAACTAGAAAGCAGAAAAACCCATAAATTATTAGGTAACATTCCTCTAACAAAAGTTTTATAGCTTTTAGGTAATAATAATATAACAAGGAGTAAATCTCAGGTCTGAAGAAGAATGTAAAATAAAAACATAGCATAGCTTTAGAAATGGAGGAATCATTTCTGGAAAAAAAAAGAAATTCAAAAAGAAATTATCAACTCATTAGCTTTCTACTTATTTTAATTAAAAATTGATATTTTTTTTCAAGATAAGTAATGTTTTAAAGTAAAATTGACTTTCACTTAAAGAACACTACAGAATTCCAATGATTTCAGTCTTTTGTTCTCTGTGAAAAGCCTTCTGGGAAGTATTAAATTTTTCATTATTATCACTAAGACATTTGATTCATACTCCTTTTGTTCATTCTGCAGCTCTTAACAATGTCATGTTTTCTGCAGAGATTCATAAATACATTTAGGTTAAACCATATGGTCATAAAACCTGTCATTATATTGTAGACAAGGTCTGATGGCTGTTGTTTTAACAAAAGTGCCCTTGACCAGTCTTACTTCTTTAAAAGCTTTACTATAATCCTGAAACCAAACTTCACTTTAACAATAAATCAGCTCTGAGTATGTATGTGTCTACTTACAGTAAAATACATAATAGATGCCTTATAGTGGCCAATTTTTCTCATCAATGTTGCTCAAAGTCTATGTATGATAAATGGCTTTTGAGTCATTCATCATGTTGGCCTACCCTAGTTGTGATTTCTTCATTTCCAAGCTTTTTCCCTCAGTCATTGCCAACAACCCATTCCCCAGTTACATCCATGACTTTGTCATCATCAAAACTATACCAGCTCTAAAATCTTTACTTCAAGCATACCATGTTCAGTTTACCAACTCTGGTACCCCAATTCCACAATAGCATTTTGTCAATACCTGCAACCTAATGAATGTCCCACTTTTTTTTCTTTTGTACCATCTACCACTTCTTTCATGTCTTGCCTTTCCTCCTTAACGAGTTTATAACCCATGATCCATAATCTACCTATCTATAATCACATCTACTGAAAGCACCATAGTTCTATAGCCTTCCCTCCTCTTGGACTCACTTGGCAAAGCTCCACTATCTACTTATGCTATGCCTACACTCAAATATTTGATGAAAAAAACCCACCAGGATGATTGGAATACTTTTAAATTCATTGCCATATATCTCAACAGAAATAAATCCTACTTGGAAATATCCTCTACTGCTCAAAATGTTTTTTCTCCAAAATTACCCTCCCAACCCTTCTCAGAGCTTCTTTTTCCTTCTTCCTAGACCTCTCCCTTTGCATCAATATGCTACAAAATTCCTATTTTAAATGATAAATGCATCCCTGATCTCCATGTACTCCTCCAACTACTGCCTCATTTTTCCATCTCTCTTCAGCATCTCCCTTCTCTTTCTCTCCTCAACTATCTTTGAATTGTTGCCCACTCTACTCTGGTTCACTATTCTTAAAAAAATTTAGTGGTCATCTTCTGTCGTATCTTCTTTAGTCTCCCAGAATCAATGAAGACTACAGATACAGTTAACACCCCTTCTGTAACAGTCTCTCTTTTCCAGTTTTTGGGACACCTCAGTCTTTTAGTTTTCTTATTGCCTTACCTGCCACCTCTTCTTGGTCGTCTCTCCTAGATCCTCCTCCTTCTCTTCCTGACTTCCAAATGTTGGAGTGCCCATGGTTCACAGCTCTTCTCTCTACATTCACTTCCGAGGAAATCTCTGGTCATCAATAATTTCATATGATCCCAATCCCTAGCCTCTTCCACAAATTACAGGCCATTTACTTGACATCAAACCATCAACAGACTTAATTGACTCCCCTTGTGGGTAGGGCAGTTGCTTATCATGTTGGGCGTCACCTTTGATACCCCTGGGCCTCAGAACAGTAAATGTTAGCCTCTCCCTCCACACCCTAAGTCATTGTGCCAAAAAAAACACAAAAGCCTTCACATTTCCAATTGTTCTCTGGAGTTCTTGTCAATAATGAATGGCACAGCCACTTGCTGCTTTATATTTTATAGCAAATGTACCTTCACTATGGAATTTGTTAAGGAGACATCACATGGCACTTTTACTCACAATGTTTTTAGGTTATGTTAGTAGCCTTTTAACTTAATGCTTCTGTGCCTTATAAGCTAATTCTGGAACACATTAAGTATGTTAGGTGAGGGGTGGATATGTGGGGGTCTAAACCTAGTGGATGGAATGAGAGAAATCCTTTGACAACCAGTTTGGAGAAAGTGAACATCAATGTTCAACAATATATGTCCTGCAGAAGAGACCATTATCCCCTTTCTACTTATGAGAGCATGAGTAAAATTAAGGGGTCTCTACATTTTATCTTGAATGGATAAATGGGAAATAAGTAAATAACCTCCTTAGCAGTTATTGGGAAGAAGCTTCCTAGCATGACATTATATTCTCAAAGGACACTGAGATAGACAGTGTAGTTAAGTAGCTCCCAGGAATGCTCCCAATAATTCTGGCTCTTTGTATTTGCCCTGTTGGGTAACACCCTACCCTTCAATATAGACTAGAGCTTGTAACTTGCTTCTAATGAATATGGAGAAAATAGAGGATATCTGAGATTCAATTTCAGAAAACGGTGACTTCCACTTTGCTGTTCCTCACTTTTCTCAGCTTGTTCAGTCTCAGGAGGCCAGCTGCCACACTGTGAGCCTCCCTGTGCAAAGGTTCACTCGGCAAGGAATGGTCAGCAACCAGCAGCTGCCAAGGAACTGAGGCCCTGAGACCACAACCAGCAATGAATCCTGCCAACAACCACATGAACAAGTTTAGCAATGAAACTTTCCCTGGCCAACAACATGACTGTAGCTTTTTGGAGCCCCTGAAGCAGAAGACCCAGCTAAACCATGGCTGACTCACAAAATCTGTGAGCTAGCAAACATTTGTTTCAAGTCACTGGATTTTGGGGTAATTTGTTGCATAGTCATACATAATATATACTGTCTACATTAACCAACAGGAGACTCTCACTCATAGTGATTCCTGTTTTACAGTTTTAAGTCTGGAAAGCACCCACATTTGTACTTTTGAATAAGAAGTGAGTACAAAACCTTACTGAACAACTCTGGCAGAAAATAAGTATTACACAGCAGAATGGTGGAAAGCAGAGAACTTCTACAGGCACAAATTGTATAGTCAGACCACTAGCTCTGCAAGTTTAGGCAAGTCAAGTAACTTCTCTGGGACTCAGTTTCTCCAACTGATGATGGGAGGAGCTGGCACTATGGTGTAGTAGGCTAAGCCTCCACCTGCAACGCTGGCATCTCAAAAGGGCGCCAGTTCACATCCCATCTGCTCCTCTTTCTATCCAGCTCTCTGCTTATAGCCTGGGAAAGCAGAAGATGGCCCAAATGCTTGGGCCCCTGCACCCCCATGGGAGACTCAAGAGGAAGCTCCTGGCTTCTGGCTTCAGATCAGATCAGCTCCAGCTGTTATGGCCATTTGGGAACTGAACCAGTGGATGGAAGACCTTTCTCTTTGTCTCTCCCTCTCTCTCTCTGTTACTCTACATCTCAAATAAATAAATAAAATTTAAAAAAAATTTACGATGGGATTGGACTAGACTGGCAATACTGCTAATGTTTCACTATCCTGTGATCTGACAGCTTCACTTCCAAATCTCTCTCATTAGCTAAAAAGTCCATCAATAGGAATCTGTCCTTAGTTCCAGGGATCACCCTTGAAGTTACTACTCAAGGTGAGAACCTCTGAGTGATGAGACAGACCAGGAAACAAACTCTATGGATACCTTCAAGGATGGGGCAGAGTTAGGTTCTTGTGTTGCAGTGAAGCCGTGGAAGAGCAGTAATGAGACTCAAATTACAAACATGTTTGATTTTGCAGTTTTGAGGACTTGGTAGGCTTCCTTCTTTCTGATATATGTGAACTATGTAACTGATAGCATTTTCACTCTTGGCTGCAAAGAAGCTTAGTGCAAATTCATGTTCATTCACAGTCACTGTGTTAAATTTTATGGTTTCTATATTTGTTTCTTTTTCCCTGTCCTAACTTTTCTACTTCTAATTTTTCACATGTCTTTTATTGCAAGCCAAGCTCAAATCTTTTATGGAAAAAAATTGGAGCACATATGAATATCATAAACACAAACATGTTGGAAATCTTTTTCTCTAATTGAGATATACAAACAAAAATAGCAAATATGAAGATGCACTTCACCTTGGTTACTTATTTTCAAAATTTAATTTGGCTTGGGGAGATCAAATATATAAAATGGCATAATTTGGGAAAAGCGTAAATTGGAAAATTGAAGAAACCACAAATTGCAACAATATTTGTACCGTTTTTATTTGTAAAAATAACAATCTGAATGCATTTCCAGAGTATATTACAGTTAAGTACTTCATTACATTATTAGAGCATTCAGTAGTTGCAAAAGCATTAAACTGTGCTTGAGAAGATTCAGACTGGTTCAAAGTCATTCACTGAACTAAAAGTCATTTCCCTCATTTTTACAGTCATGGCATTTACCAGAGTCATTCAACTCCAATTTATATAGGAAAACATTACAGACAAAATTCCACTGAAATCATCAAACAATATTTTATGCTGTTACAAATATGTTATGCAAAATATAACACTGGCACCAGATTTGTTTCATCGTGCTTTGCAAAGATATATTGCACATGCTAAAGCATAAAATATGCAGACAAAACTACCAAACAAAAGATATTTGCATTGAATTTTTAGATCACTGCATAAGAAACGCATAGAATTACATTTTGTACACACACTCAGATTGTCACTATCTTAAAACACTTTTGCCCTATAATACTGACCTATGGTTTACAGTTTTGTAAGAAAAAAGCATTTCAGCACTACAAAACCAAACATTATTCCTATAGAAAACTTTAGCATTTTCATTTCAAAGCAAGAAAAAGGGGAAATAGGAAAAAAGATACTTTATACATTCAAAGAAAGGTTGAAATGAAAACTCACTGGTATTATATTGCTAACACTCCAATGAAAAAAATACAAAACATTTCACAAAACATTGTCAGAATATACAAATATAAAAAGGCACTCTAACTTCATATTACAAGACAAAAAGGGGATGAATTCTTCAACCAACACAACAGATAAGCAAACCAAGTTGCTCAACAGTACAAAGAATAACTAGTGCAGCAAATCCATGTGATGTTCCTGTTCTAATTTAATAATAAAATAATAAATCAAGCAGCTGTTTACTGCCTCAAGTACCAAAACATACTATGGTGCCCTTTTAGTAGTGATAAATAGAAATCCCCTGAGCTATTTACTGTAGAATCATAGCAGATTTTAGGCAATTTGGAGATAATAATGTATATACCAAAGACAGGCAGACACTGGCGAATAGGGAAGTGCATACAGCATCGTGATCCCTGCGGCTATGGTTAAAATACCGCCTAAAAATAACACGTTTAGGTAAAAGCACGAAGCAACTAAGACTCAATTAAAAACACAAAGTTTTCTGGTTCATTTTTTCTTAAAAAGCTCTATCGCAAACATAAATTTGTTCTAAGAGATGTAATTGAAATGCACAGAAATTACAGTTTTTGTAAAAGTCATTTCTTAAAAAAAGAAATTTAGTCTTGGGGACAGGGCGAATTGGAGGGAGGGCTAGAGAGAAAGACATTGATTGATTCAACAAGCAGTCCATTGTGAGCATGATTTTGTTTTGTTCCTTTGTCCTCCTCCCTTGAGAGAGAGGGAGAGAGAGTGGGGGAAAATCTAAAAGCAGCTCCATGGAGAAAATGTCTCATGGTCGCTCACTGCTTTGCTGAAATGATCCTTGTACTCTCTGCTACTCTACAGGAAAAATGTCAACGCTGCTTCGCAGGCATTTCATCTTCTGCCTTAAATGCCAACTGAGCAAGATTTCCATTCACTTCTGGAAAAAAGACACCGCAGTATATTGTGCTTCTTCAACACAGCGTCTCCCTTATTTTCAGGGTTTTGGTAAAAAGAGAAGGTTATTATTGCTCATTACCAATTTACCTATTTCTTTAAACATTTATCTTCTCTAAAATAACATAAAGGGCAGAAGAAGGAGGGGAGCACCACACCAAGAATTCAAAACATAATGGTGGTGGTGTTGAAAAATTTCAGTTGAAATTAATATCAGTTTTATAAGTCCTTTGAACAAGTTCTCAATTATAAAGAACCTAATATGAGTTTTAATTAAATCCAGGATATTAAAAGAACAAAATTAAAGTCTTTTATAGCTGAATGAAAAATACAACCCAGGATCTGTATCTGATCCAGGTACAACTTAACACTGTTTTAACAAATATCTCACATACACTATAAAATAGAAATTTCCAGGGTAAAAATGGAACCCATTATAAATTGTTGACTAGGACTGTCCTAGTGGGACATATTTTTTCCTGTCTCTTCCTCAAGTGGAAAAAAGCACGAGAGCTGGTGATTTTTATTTCTCCTCTTGGCACAGTGCCCACACACTGACCTATTTCCCACTGGGTTACTGGGACTCTGGTTTTTCAGCATAGTGTGGGTTATTTCTGGACTTTCTTTGGGCCACTTTTGTGTATTCACATTTCGGTTTTCCTGTTGCAGAAGAGCATATGGACTGTAATGTCTTCTAAGCTCTAAGTTGGCTACAAACCGAGGCTGAGTGTGGATGAAGGTGAGGGCCAGCTGGGAACTCAGCAGTGGGAATGGCGGGTGTGGCCCCAGGGCTGTTGGCTAGCCCAGGGTCAAATATCTTTTCCACTTTTTTGTTACTCTAAATAAGATATATAGCAATTAAAACAGAGAACAAACAATGGATGTTTCCTCAGCATTTGTTTCATTTCAAATAAATATAAACACATTTACATCAAAAGTATATGGACATTTTCTCTAGTTTGGCAAAAAATAAAAAAACTGTGGTCAACACATCATCAGTTACAAATGTTAAGCTGTCAACTAGAAATCTGTATCATAAGAAATATAAAATACAACAAAGACTGATATGCAAAAAGGTTACATTTTAACTCCATAGAAAAACTACTTCAGTTCTCACTTGCATTTTGAAGAAAAAAAGTTTAAATCTTCCATTTCAGACTGAAGCATTTTGGTCCTCATGGGTAGCTGGTTGATGAATTACATACATATCTACATACACATATATGTGTGAGTATGTATGTGCATAATTTTAAAGAGTCTCATTCTTCCTTTTGTACAGCTGTTCCAGGGGTGGAACGGGGTCCGTTTGACCTAGAAGCTTTGGCAGAGGGAGCAGACACAGTATTCACTACGTTGATTTTATCATCAAGCAACTGGCAATTGGCTGTAATTTCCATATCACCCATTTCCACTTCTTGCTTTCACTTTCTTTGTTCATTTTTGCAGGCACACTTTCACTCACTTGGCAATGACCTTGACTGAGAAGCTCATTTAACATTTTACTACTGATGAGCAATGCTGATGATTCTGATGCATTTGAAAAGTTAGTATTTTGATTTAAGAATCAACGATCAAAGGGTAGTTCCCTTTTAAATTTGCATATTGTCTGAAAGTTTTGGTACAATATAATTTTCACTGGAAGTGTTATGCGATAGATTTGGGTTCAATCACTCAGGTGAAAATTAGTGACAGGATTGTTATCGGGAGCACTAGGGTGCCACATTTATGTTAAAAAAAAAAAATTTAAAAAAGCAAGTTCCATCTTTCAATTCATCCGGCAACTTTAACAAAGACAAAGTTCTCAGAAAGAACTCAGAAAGAAGTTCTGGATATTTAAGTGCTTATTTGAGAAGACATAAACAGCTGGACTGTCTTACAAAGATTATTACAGGCATTACTCTGAAGATGAACACCTTTACCTTTGGCTTCTAGTGAGGAAGTAAACATCAACGTGAGGCATTTCCTACCCACTCTTCCCTCCCCTCCCAGGGGACAGGAATGTCACACTGATACACTTCCCAGAACTTTCTGCTGAGTACAGGAAAAAAAAAATCTCTTCACAAGAAACCACTGCCTCTCTGTTGCATTATCCCCAAAGAAAAAGGATTAAATACATTTTAAAAATCCTTACTTAGTGTGCTCGCTTCGGCAGCACATACATTAAAAATCCCTTACTTAAAATGAGAGGTAGACTTTCATGAAAGTACCCAAGGAAACAGGAAACAAAACAAAACTGGGCCCATCTCTAGGTGTTTTAGCCTAGCTGCCCTTCCTCTGTTTGACTAATTCCTTCCCTCCTGGCTTCTGGAAGCTCAGGCCCCAAATAACACTTGGATATCAACCTGGAATGTAAGCATCTTTCCCTTCCTCCAACACCGGTGATCAAAGAAAAGCTTCTACAGTGCAAAGTCAGAATGTTTCCGAATCAGAATCGTTTTCATTGTACCCATCCTCCGAGCCTATGTTGTTACTGCACAGGCTAACCATGCTACCCAGATTGGAGAGGGTCGTCCTGCTCAAATTGTCTTTTTTTAAACACACGAAGTTGACAGCCGTCATTGTACTGGAAGGAGAAAAAGGCATCATGGTAGCCAAAATGAGGGCCAGGCAGTCAGCCACGTCTTTGTTAGGAGCACAAGCCAGGGCCGGGGTATGACCTGGGCGTAAACGCAGACAAGGCAGTGGTTAGTCCCAGGGCGTCCCGAGGAGGCGCGAGCTTCCACAGTACATCTCCTAATCCACCCACGTGGAGATGTATGCCGAGTTAGAAATCATGCTAGGTCAAAGGCAGAGGGACTTCTCACACGTCATGCTGGCCGGGGTGGGGGTGGGGGAGGCTAGGGAGGAGGCAGGGAGGGAGACATTTGATGGAAGGGCTTTGGTTTGGTGTTTTTTGTTTTTTGTTTTTTGTTTTTTTTTTTTTTTTACAGCTCACACGACCACAGTAAGCACAATATTTTCTGAGGTTAGAATTCCAGCCTTCATCTAGTAAACAGATACATGCGGAGGTGCGGGTGGGACACAGTTCCAAAAAAAAAAAAAAAAAAAAAAACAAACAGCAACAGGACAACCAGGAAGATGTCTCCACTGGCAAGCACATACATACACACCACGAGCCTTAGACCCAGGTGGACCAGGACTCTCATTCTGAGAACAATGACTTTCCATTGTAGCTAATTGTGTCAGATTAGAGAAGGCACTGAAAGTTAGATGACTGTGAGCGACTAATGCCACTTGGTCACTTCGTATATATATGTGTGTGTGTGTGTATATATATATATATATATATATATATATATAAAATGTAAAATATACACCAATGAACTGGCTTCAGAAAAATGGAGTCATTTGAGATCAGATACAAGAAGCTGTAACTGTTTAAAATTAAAAATTTACTAGCAGTTAAGAGAAATTTAATAGGATTTCAAAAAAGAGCCACTCCACCAAGTAAAGTCCTAAATCTGAAATGCAACAGATGTGGAAAAATTGCCATCCTTGCCATAATTACAGTTGTGCCATTTTCTACCATTCACACTTGATGGGTCCAGTCCAGGTGAGAAACCGACCTCCACAACCAGCTTGGGGAGGTAGAATAATTCTCTGATCTAATTACTACCCTACCATTACCATCATTATCTCTGCTGGCCAAAGTTCTCACACCATAGTGGGTAGTGCACTCACTCAGTCATCAGAGGAACTAGCTCAATAAAACTTAATATTTCATTGGTTTGCTTATCATCACTTGACCTGGCCCTCCCTCGCCACTCCCCCTAGCCTTTAAGAGGTTATTCTTCTTTCTGCTTCGGAAAAAAACAAAACAAAACAAATGGACAGGAATATTAAGATTCCATTCCACAAAGGATCAGCATTGAGTAAAAGAATTACGAAAATTCTGAACAAGACCGTTCCCAGACTTTTGGGATGTAGCTAAGCCTTGAGACAGACAAGTGCTCAGATGCAGAGTTATACTAGAAAAAAAGCAAAACTGATCTAGTTTGGACTCTTTGGAAAAAAATTACAGGCCTCTGCATATCAATCCTAAGTGATAAGAGGGTGAGGAAAGGTGAAGTGGGAAAGCCAAGGCGATGGAGTAAGAGAGAAATTTCTGCACCTCATAGATGAGCCATGTTGGGGATGGAGCAGGGTACATGCTGGGTAAATGGGGCTGCAGAAACAAAACTACTAAGAGTTAGCTACTGATGGCAATATGGCTGCTTACTTCTGAGAAATAGGCATGAGCTGCTAATTCCAATACCTGTAATAAGCAGTTAATTGAGTTATATTAATACATTATAATGCTTTAATTAAATGCCACAATTAATGCCACATTTTTAAAAATCACTTAATTCATAAATATCCAGAAGTTCCTCTTTTGCTCCCCAAGGTTAATTAATAGGTGTTATGCTTAAAGTGGTAGCTTAGTACAATTCTAGGATTCATTAGTTTTCAAAATTTCTTAGGAAGCAGAGTAGAAAGCTTCTGTTAAGAATCAGCTCGTTTAGAAAAGAAGCATTATATAGATCAGGAGAAGCTTTCAAGCCTGGACACTAATTAAAATTTTTATTCATGTTCCCTAAATTTCCATACTGGGAATATGAGTTCTGATCTGGACTTTAAAAAAATGGTTTGATCTCAGAATGAATTGAAATACAATCAAAAACCTAGGTTTTTATCTGAGCCCTTGAGCATGCACTAATGACATGTGTAATCCCTAACTCTTCAGTGTATGCAGTTAGAATTCTGAATGCCAAGTTGGAAGTTTTTTTTATTTTAGTGAGTCTAAATGATTTTAACCACCACGCTGAGGAGTTAGAGACCAACTGCTGACACATGCAGAATGGATAGCACTGGTGGGCTATAGGTGGACCATGTGTTTTACAAAATGACAGACAGGACAAATTAACCTTGCTGGACTTCTCACACACATGGGACTTTCAAGAGGGAGAGAATTATTACTGCCTGTTCATAAGCTCCAACCTCTCTCATTTTCCTCTGGCTTCCATCGGCATATGGAAGACACAGGCAGTAATGTTTATTTTTTCCACTTACCATTTTCATCTACAGCAAGCACACAGGCTCCTTTGGCCAGCAACTCCTCGACTACCACCTTCAAGCCATTGCGTGCAGCAATGTGGAGGGGTCTAAAAAACACAGCATCAAGCATCACCTGGGACACATATTTGTGTGATATTGGGGCATTCTAGTTAGCCTATCCCACTAAAAGGAAGACTTAACAAGATATTTATACATACACTGCATCTCAATCCCAATGTCAGTAACAAGGAAGATAGAGAAAGAACACAGAACACACTGTATCGGGTTCTTGCTTGATTTCTGCCATAGCCTTGAATCATTGTGGCACACAGGACAGGCATAGACATTATCCATATATGTGCAGGTACTTAAAAAGTTCATGCAACAATAGAATTAAAAGACAAGCTTTTTTTTAACGTTTGAAAATTATTTGAGAAGTAGAGGAGAGAGGAAGAGACAGAGACTGACTCCCATCCATTTGTTCACTCTCCACATGCTCACAGCAGCCAGAGCTGGGGACAAATTCAAGAGCCAGGAACACAGTCTTGGTCTCCCACATGGGTGGCAGGAACCCAAATGCTTGAGCCATCACTGCTGTCTGCCAGCCTCCATGCTACCAGGAGTTAAGAGATTCAGCCAGGAATGGAACCCAGGCACTTTCATAATCATTAAACATTTGCTCTAATAAGCTTATTTTGGTACAAAAAAAAGTTAGAATATATGCACAGTTTTAAAATAACACACATATTCCATGAACTTTTTGAAGTACCCTTGTATATAATCTCAAATCTTATTATTACTAAAAGTACACAGATGTTTTACTGAATTCATAATACCTTAAAAAATAATGTTAACCTCTGCATACAGCACTATGTACTACCTAAGAATCTTAAATGGAAAAATAAATTCCTAATTGTCCTTTGTCTTTAAAACAAATGCATAAATAACTTTCTAGAATGGAAAATAAATCAGGTTTGAGATCTTTCACACCAAGGGTTACACTGAATCATATTAAAATATAATTGAGACAGGCCGGCGCCGCGGCTCACTAGACTAATCCTCCGCCTTGCGGCGCCGGCACACTGGGTTCTAGTCCCGGTCGGGGCGCCGGATTCTGTCCCGGTTGCCCCTCTTCCAGGCCAGCTCTCTGCTGTGGCCAGGGAGTGCAGTGGAGGATGGCCCAAGTGCTTGGGCCCTGCACCCCATGGGAGACCAGGAGAAGCACCTGGCTCCTGGCTTTGGATCAGCGTGATGCGCTGGCCGCAGCGCGCCAGCCGCGGTGGCCACTGGAGGGTGAACCAACGGCAAAGGAAGACCTTTCTCTCTGTCTCTCTCTCACTATCCACTCTGCCTGTCAAAAAGAAAAAAATATATATATGTATATATATATATATATATAATTGAGACAAATAGCTTAGAAACTCTTCAAATGTATTCTGGGAACCTGATTTATAAAACTGTCATTTTCCAGTTAGAATACATAATGCTAATATATAATACTAATGTGTCCATAAGCCTATATGATTTTTCTAACAGTCTGCTAAAATTATATTACTATAGAAGTATCAGCAAAGAAAAACACAGACCTTAAAAAATGCTATGGCAGCGTATCAAAAAGAGGACTCTAAGCAAAACTGCCTAGCCAGGTAAACAACTGTGGGTGGGCAACGGTCAGCATCATGGAGAAAAATCCAGGTCTGCCTTTCTCACTGCTGTGCTCCCCTATGCTAGCCTGACACACAGCAGGCTCCTAATACTTCTCGAAACAATAACTATGACTCTGGGTTCAAGTAAGACTTTAAAAGTTACTTACGGCTGGTGCCACAGCTCAATAGGCTAAACCTCTGCCTTGCAGCACCGGCACACCGGGTTCTAGTCCCAGTCGGGGTGCCAGATTCTGTCCCGGTTGCCACTCTTCCAGGTCAGCTCTCTGCTGTGGCCCGGGAGTGCAGTGGAGGATGGCCCAAGTGCTTGGGCCCTGCACCCCATGGGAGACCAGGAGAACCACCTGGCTCCTGCCTTTGGATCAGCGCGGTGCGCCGGCCGCAGAGCACCAGTCATGGCGGCCATTGGAGGGTTAACCAACAGAAAAGGAAGACCTTTCTCTCTGTCTCTCTCTCTCACTGTCCACTCTGTCAAAAAAAATTTTTAAAAATAAGTAAATAAAGCCGGCGCCGCGGCTCACTAGGCTAATCCTCCACCTAGTGGCGCCGGCACACCGGGTTCTAGTCCCGGTTGGGGTGCCAGATTCTGTCCCGGTTGCCCCTCTTCCAGGCCAGCCCTCTGCTGTGGCCAGGGAGTGCAGTGGAGGATGACCCAGGTGCTTGGGCCCTGCACCCCATGGGAGACCAGGAAAAGCTCCTGCCATCCGATCAGCGCTGTGCGCCGGCCGCAGCGCGCCAGCCGCTGCGGCCATTGGAGGGTGAACCAACGGCAAAGGAAGACCTTTCTCTCTGTCTCTCTCTCTCACTGTTCACTCTGCCTGTCAAAAATAAATAAATAAATAAATAAATAAATAAAGTTAAGCTGGCTTTAAAAAAAATAAGTAAATAAAAGTTACTTACGTGTGCAGTGCATTATTTTTTGCATTAATGAGGCTCTCATCTTGTATCTTGTCAAGTATTAACAAGGCACATTTCTCATGACCCTAATAAAGGAAAAGAAGTGATAAGATAAGAAACCTGAGACAAAGACACAGAGAGGTTCTTGAAAAATTACTTCACCACGCTTTACATTGCAAATGGATTTCCTCTGACTAGAAAATGTTCTACAAGGCTATTTTCTGAGAAATGTTTTTTTTTAAACAAAAATGGGCCCCAAGTACTCTAGGATTCTAAATAAGGTCAGTGAAAGAACTTGGTTAACATACATCTGAACTAAAAGGTTAACAGTTCTGAGATAATTGTTAGAATTAATGTCCAGAGGGCTCAACACATGCTAACTTGGCTCGCTCCGCTGGTAAACAGAGAGGATTAGGAGTACCCTTTACATCCCTCACCCTGACGTGTTGCACACATATCAAGTCCAGGCTCTCTCCTCAAGCCTTCAGTGACCACTTCAGTCATCCATTTATCCTTGGAATTCTCACTTATCAATTATCTGCACACTCACCATCATTTTCCACCTTGTATGGTGAAGGGACCCGACACCAGGAAAGCTCAGACTTTTCTTCCTCAGCTAGCGGGAGACAGCTCTGTGCCTTGTGACAATTGGTGGTGGATAATTTTAAAACACCCTCCTGTACCTTCAGGCCTGGTGGCCTTCTGAGGGGCCATGGCTTCCTAAGCCCCCACTAACCAATGTGTGGCCCACAGACCTCCAGCATCAGTGTGACCTGGGACATCTCAGGTGCCGCTCCAGAACTCATAAAGTGGTATGGATTTAACAAGAACTCCAAGTGATTTGTTTGCACAATAAAGTTTGAAAAACGCTACACTTACATTCACTAACACAACAACACCTTGAAAAAAAACTACATGAAACTGAGCAGTACTTGTGATTTCCATGGGATTTTCAGAGCACAAAGGAACCGCTGAGACTTCTGGTATCACCTGGCATAGGTAACACTCTCAATATTTTAACTATGTTGCAATTAATCACCATCACTGGTATTGGCTATTTAAGGAACACCCTTAAATAGAATTTCAGAAATGTCCCTGGAACTTTTAAAGTCACTGCTGGCAGAGTATACACAATTGTAACCTTATCAGACAATGATTTTTTTTTTAAGATTTATTTATTTATTTGAAAGGGAGAGTTACAGAGAGGGAGAGAGAGAGAGAGAGAGAGAGAGAGAGAGAGAGGAGAGAGAAGAGAGAGAGAGAAAGGAGAGAAGAGAGAGAGGTCTTCCATCCACTGGTTCACTCCCCAAATGGCTGCAACGGGGGAACAGAGCCAGTCCGAAGCCAGAACCAGGAGCTTCTCCTGGGTCTCCCACATGAGTTCAGGGGCCCAAGGACTTGGGCCATCTTCCACTGCTTTCCCAGGCCATAGCGGAGAGCCAGATCAGAAGTGGAGCAGCCGGGACTCGAACCAGCACTCACATGAGGTGCTGGCACTGCAGATGGTGGCTTTACCCAATACATCACAGCACTGGCCCCGTGATTGATCTTTAAAATATTCATATCCTTAAGCTCAATAATTCTACACTAAGGAACAAAAAAGGGATAACTCTTAAAGGAATGCATAAGGAATGAATCTTAAAGGAACAAATAAGTATCCTTCAAAAGGATTTCTTGACAGTAAGCATTATTTATAATAGCATATTGGAAAAGAAGATATCCATCTACGAACAGGGGATGGATTAAATAAAGGATGGTGTAGTCCTAAGATAAAGCACCACCCTAGCGCTGTGGCACAGCAGGTTAAAGCCGCTGCCTGCAACACCAGCATCCACATGGGCACTAGTCTGAGTGTGGCTGCTCACTTTTTTTTTTTTAATATTTTATTTATTTATTTGACAGGTAGTGTTACAGATAGTGAGAGGGAGAGACAGAGAGAAAGGTCTTCTGTCCGTTGGTTCACTCCTCAAATGGCCGCAACGGCTGGAGCTGCACCAATCCGAAGCCAGGAGCCAGGTGCTGCCTCCTGGTCTCCCACGCGGGTGTAGGGGCCATCTTCTATTGCAGAGAGCTGGATTGGAAGAGAAGCAGCCGGGACTAGAACTGGTGCCCATATGGGATGCTGGTGCCGCAGGCGGAGGATTAACCTACTGTGCCACGGCGCCGGCCCCTGCTCTACTTCTGATCCAGCTCCCTGCAAATGGCCTGGGAAAAGCAGTGGAAGATGGCCCAAGTGTTTGGGCTTCTGCCACCCACACAGGAGACCTGGATAAAGCCCCTGACTCCTGACTTCGGCCTGGCCCAGCACTGGCCCTCGTGGAAATCTGGGGAGCGAACCAGCGGATAGATTTCTCTTTTTGTCTCTCCCTCTCTCTCAGTAACCCTAACTTTCAAATAAATAAGTAAATATTTTTAGAAACCATGAAGAATTATGTCTAAGACATTCATAATGTATGATTCAGTAATAAAATAAGAGTATAAAACAATATGATCTCACTTTTGTAAAATCATATTTATAGATACACATATACATGAATACATATTTGCATTAAATATATATGTCCCTGAAATCTCATATGGGAGCAGGAACCTTGATAAACATATGGACACAACGCTATTTAAGAAAAAAACATTCTTTGCAAGAACTATGTACCAAGGTTAACCGAAAATGAATTTTAATGGAGAATGGGACTGGGAAGGGGAGAGGGAGGAGGGGAGGGAGTGTGGATGGGAGGGCAGGTATGGTGGGAAGAATAACTATATTTCTAAATTTGTACTTAGGAAATTTGTATTCCTTAAAAATGAATTTAAAATATTTAAATTAAAAAAGAACTATGTATCAGAAAAAAAGGATAAAGTAAAATGTGCATTTATTTGCCTCATATTATTTTTGGCTATGTTATTACAATGTCTTCAAGTAGAACAAATAAAAATAAATTAAATGGCTTTTATTTTTTTTAAATACTTATTTATTTGAAAGGCAGAGTGACTCAGAGAAAAAGAAAGAGATCTTGGGGACTAGTGCTGTGGCACAGCGGGTAAAGCAGCCACCTGCATGTTGACATCCCATATGGGCACTGTTCAAGACCCAACTGTTCCACTTCCAATCAAGTTCCATGCTAATGGCCTGGGAAAACAGTGGAGGATGGCTCAAGTATGTGGGCCCCTGCACCCACATGAGAAACCTAGACGGAGGAAGCACCAGGTTCCTGGCTTCGGTCTGATCCAGCCTCAGCTGTTCCAGCCATTTGGGGAGTGAACCAGAGAATGGAAGTTCTCCCCCTCCCTCTCTGTGTCACTCTGCCCTTCAAATAATAACAAAATAAATATTGAAAAAAAAATACAGGGGTCTGTGCTGTGGCACAGCAGGTAAAGCTGCCACCTGTAGTGCCAGCATCCCTTATGGGTGCTGGTTGAGTCCCAGCTGCTCCACTTCCGATCCAGCTCTCTGGCCTGGGAAGGCAGTAGAAGATGGTTCAAGTCCTTGGGCCCCTGCACCTGCATGGGAAACCAGAAGCTTCTGGCTATTGGCTTTGGATAGGCACAGCTCCAGCTGTTGCAGCCAACTGGGGAGTGAACCAGTGGATGGAAGACCTCTCTCTCTCTCTCTCTGCCTCTCCTTCTCTCTCTGTATAATTCTGACTTTCAAATAAATAAATAAATCTTAAAAAATATATAGATCTTTCATCCACTGGCTTACTCTCTAAATGGCTATAATAGCCAGGTCTGGGCCAGGCTGAAGCCAGGAGCCATGAACTCCACCTGAGTCTTCCACATGGGTGGCAGAGGCCCAGGTATTTGGCCATCTTCCATTGCCTTCCCATGTGCATTAACAGGAAGCTGGATCAGAAGTGGTGCAGCCAGGACTCTGAAAATAGTATTCTGATACGGTATGCTGGTGTTCTAAGTGGCAGCTTAACCTGCTGGCCACAACACTGGCCCCTATATTTCAGAAGTCATAGAATTAAAGTCTTAACCTACTCTGTGGTTCACAACCAAGGAGACGGATCCAGTGGCAGCATCAAAACAGACTGTGGTGAGTAAGCGGCAAATGCTATGGAAAGCTTGTGCTCATCATTCAGGATGACACAGCACATTCTCATCAGCCGAGCGTGTCTGCCCTCCCCATTCCACTTACACCTGAAAACACCCTGGGGAAACATGCTTCCTAAAAGGCAGAATTCTAGTGCCATCATTATTATTCTAATTATTTTTACAATGCCAAGTAACAGTGCTGGGCATGTGGTACAGCAGTTAAGATGCCACTTGGGATACCCACATCCCACACTGCAGTGCCTGGCTTCAAATCCTCTCTGTGCTCAGATTCCTGCTTCCTGCTGATGCACACTCTCAGAAGCAACAGGTGATGGCTAAGTAGTTGGGTCCCCATCAGACATAAGGGAGAGCAACACTGAGTTCCCGGCTCTCAGCTGTTGTGGGCCTTTGGGGAGTGAACCAGTAGGTGGGAGAGCTCTGCCTATCTGTCTCCCTGTTTTTCAAATGAAATAAATAAATATTTTAAAATTAATTTTAAAACCCCTTAGTAACAGTATTTTAAATTCATTTACATACTTTACTACTAGCCAAATGTAAGGGTGTATTCAAGTCCTTATCCTTTATGGTCAGATCAGCCTGGGCACTGTTCACCAAAATATCTATAGAAAAAGCCAAAAGAGGGTTATTTAGATTAGATGCTAATCACATACATTTTCAACAAGTTATTACAAAAATGACATTTCTATTAGTACAGTTCCCATTTGATGTTTTGAAAGAAAAAAAGGAACAATTTATTGCTATATTTGTTCTATCTCCAATATCAACAGGCATTACTTTTATTTTACAGCTTTCCATTAAGACCAGTTAGATGATTCTGCTCTTTTACCAGGTTGCTAAATGCTGAGAAATGCCACTGCACAAAGGTTGGCTCACGCTGGCAAGGTCCGCTAATGATCAAGTCACAGGGAACTGAAAATGCCTAAGCACATAGTTAGGTGGCCTAACTGAAACTGTTTGTGGCCCCTTTTCACACGTGCACACCAAGAACACGACTGATTTTTCAAATTCCCATTATTTTCGTTTGGGGAGAAGCACGAGTATGAAGTCCACATGACAAGCACATACCCACGGCGCCCGCCTGTCCGTTCTCAGCAGCCATCATCAGCGCCGTTTTCCCTGAATTGTCTACTGCATTCACTTGAGCGTTGTGTCTCAAAAGAAGCTGCAGGCACTCCACGTGGTCAGCAAAGGCTGCTGCATGGAGGGGTGTCCTCAAGAGTTCAAGCAAACACGATTTTAGTCCCTTACACTTTACCCTGTATTTGATCAATGCCTGAGAAACACACGCACGGTGGTGTCTTCAGGAGTTAAAACGTCTCAGTTCACGGGGACACTGATCAGGGTAGACTCTGAAGTGTCACCTATGCAAATGGCAGTCCCTAGATTAGGGGAGGGGTGTATGCAGGGGCCCTGTTAATGAGATTAGCATCTTTGGTTTCCCTTTAATCTTGAGACCCAGTGAGTTCATTTTCATCTTTGAGATAGATATTTGCAAAACTAAGTCTTCACGTTGTAGGTAATTGGCTGATTGAGTACAAATTTTTAAGAGTCTATGTCATCTAATGTGGGTGGCTGATTTCTCTGGAAGGACAATTTGGCATTATTTGTCAAAATTAAAACCTTATTGGGGGGCCAGTGCTGTGGCTTAGTGGGTAAAGCCGCCGCCTGCAGTGCTGACATCCCATATGGGTGCTGGTTCAAGTTCTAGCTGCTCGACTTCTGATCCAGCTCTCTGCTGTGGCCTGGGAAAGCAGTAGAAGATGGCCCAAGTCCATGGGCCCCTTCACCTACATGAGAGACCCAGAAGCTCCTGGCTCCTGGCCTTGGATTGGCTCAGCTCCAGCTGTTGTGGCCATCGAGGAATGAACCAGAGGATGGAAGACCTCTCTCTCTCTTGCTCTGCCTCTGCCTCTCTGTAACTTTGCCTTTCAAATAAATAAATAAATCTTTAAAAAAAACTTATTGGAGCTGGCCTAGTGGCACAGCAGGTTAAGCTACCACTTGTGACACCTGTAACCCATAGAAGTTACACCCATGTGGGAGACTCGGGTGAAGTTCCTGGCTCCTAGCTTCCAACTGGCCCAGACCTGGCTGTTGAAGCCAGGCAGTGAACTAGTGGATAGAAGCTATCTCTTTCTCTCTCTCTCTCTGTTTCTTCCTCTCTCTCTCTCTGTTACTCTGCCTTTCAAATAAATAAAGTCTTTAAAAAGACATACAATTTAAAAATACTGATCTTTTAGCCTAGGACATTATTTTCAGATATACTTGGTCATACGTACAGACATGTGTATGAGAATGTTCATTAAACTACTCTGAAATAGCAAAATATTGGAGACAATCTAAATGTTTTTCAAAAGAGGACAGGCAAAGTAAAACCTAGTAAGCCAGATAATGAAATAACGTAGTTTTAGAAGGAATACACTAGGGGTGGCTTTTGGTATAGCAGTTAAGATACAACATCTGCTTTTGATATAGCTTCCTGCTAATGTGTACCCTGGGAGGACAGCAGGAGATACCCTAAGTAAGTAGGGCCCTGACACCATGTGGGAGACCCAGATTGAGTTCTGGGTTCCTGGCTTTGACCTGGACCTGGTGCAGCTAATGTAGGCATTTGGAGAATGAGCCAGCAGACAAGACTGTCTGTCTCTGTCTTTCAAATAGGTGAAAATAAATAATTTGTTTAAAAAATGGAATATGAAAAATCTGTATACCCTGCTATGGAAAAATCTCTAAAATATACTGAAACAGAGCACTGTGACAGAATGCATAAATTCTTTTGCATAAAAAGAACTGTGTGTGTGCATGTGTATGTATGTGTGTGTGTATGTATTATATATATGTTGGTAGATACATATAGAAAATATTTAGAGGGATTGAAAATTTTGGAAAGAATAGAGTATAGCTCTTTGAAAAGGCTGAGGATTCTGGGATAACAGGAGAATTTCTTTAAATTTTATATTCTTCATAAAACTTAATTAAAAAAAAAAAAAACATGTTCGTGGGGCCAGCACTGTGGCATAGTGAGTAAAGCCACCACCTGCAGTGCTGGCATCCCATATGGGTACCCATTTGAGTCCTGGCTGCTCCACTTCTGATCTCTGCTTACAGCCTGGGAAAGTGTGGAAGATGGCCCAAGCCGTTGGGCCCCTGCATCCACGCTGGAGACTGAAAGAAGATCTGGACTCCTGGCTTTGGATCATCTGAGCTCCAGCCACTGCAGACATTGGGGAGTACACCACTGGATGAAGACCTCTCTCTCTGACTCTGCCTCTCTGTAACTCTGCCTTTCAAATAAATAATAAATAAATCCTTTCTTTTAAAAAAGTCATGCTCATGTATTGCTCTTTTCAAGTAAAAAAAATAGGTATCTGGCTATTGTGAAATTGCAAAACAGAGACTATGCTGTATATGACAGAAGCCAACACCATCTCGGGACACTCACCTGCCTTTGTCATCTCTGCAGCTGACAATACTGGAATCTATGGCCCCGAGTAACAGCGATGCACAGTTCTCATGATCATTGATTCTGAAATGAAAATGGATCTTCATGTAAAAATTTCATTCTTCTAAAATTTATATTTTCCCTCCTATCCCATCTTTCTATGCATTGGGTATCTAACAATCTGGTGCATTTTAAAAAAATTCTCATGTAAGTGTTTGTGGTACATTTCAGTGACAGACTCTGTCATCTTTAGAGGTTTCTTCCGAATCTCTACATGGAGGTAGGAGTTCGCTGCAGAGCACTGACACAAGATCTCCGGTAAGGAGTTTTGTATTACAAAGTAAAAAAGATAGGTTCCTTAAGATTTAAAATAACTCTACCACTGACATTGTCTTTATGCCTCCAACATTTTCCCAACCAAATTACACAGCTTTATGAAAAATCCAGAGACAATGTCAAGACAAGGCATCCTCAGGTCCTGGGTCCTCAGGATGACCGTGGAAGGCTGACCTAAGTCACTACATTCTCTAAACAATGGCTTCACACTAGGAGACTGGGGCAAAAATTACATTTATCCAAAAAGGACTTATAGCACATGAAGAATGGAGAATTACAATATACAAAAATGTCTTCCTGGCATAAAATCTCTCTAGCCATATGTACACAAATTAGTGAAATGTTGACTTAAGTTTAGAATTCAGCAGGCAAATGAGATTTATATCAGAAGAATTCTTTACATCATTGCAATCTGAAGAATTTCACATTTCATAGCTTACCCTACCAGGCAGTCAGTTTCTCTAAAGTGGAATGTGAACCACTCTGGAGCTGTGGCACGCCACCAAAGGCTGGGGGCCACACTTTACTATCAGACTTAATTGCTTCAGCAGAAAAATGGAATATTTCAGTCTTATCTGTAACCTGAATGCCTTTTTCCTTTCCCAAAATATAATTTCTCCATATTTGTTAAAAGAACTAAAGCAACACCATTAATTTCCAGCATTTTTACTTACATTGCACAGTGCAGTGGAGTAAAGGGATTACCAACAAATTTGCGGAAACACTTTTGCTCCAAAAGAACCTCTATGCAGTTTTCATTACCTGTAAGGAATCAAAAGAATTTAGGGAGTCTCCAGGAAATTCTGTTCCACACAATGTTTTTTTCATTAAGTATTGAGTTCTAGCTCATGAATTTTCCTGAATTGGCTGACTATTCATTTTCCATAGAATGAAATTTACAAAATGCCAAAATGCTATTAACTATGTTCACAGGTGTTCTAAGACATAATGAACAAATAAAACAGTAAAGGCCATATGTTTTGGTGCGTAGAGAGAGAGAAAGAGAGACGGCTTCTCATTTTAAGCAGAATAGGTTCTACAATAACATAGGCAAGCTTCAATATGCCTATATTTATAAAAGGAAATTGACTTTTCACCCACATGAATAAGCTGACTTACAGTTATGTACCCTGGTGAAGGGGAGAAGACACATATTTGAAATGATGCATGTGAAAATGCTAGGACTCTAAACTCCTACATAAATGGCACTAGGAACAGTCCTTAGCACATGGTAAGCATCCCTCAGTATCTTTTTAATAAGCAGATGAACGAATGTGAGGAATTATTTTCAGCGAAAAAGCAGGTAGTTTCCAAATCAGCTGAACTTGAGAATCACACAAGGTCTCAGCTCCATCAGCTTACATGCCATGTGGTCAGGCAGTTTACCTGGTTTCTGTGAGCCCTAGTTTCCCATATATACAAGACTGGCTATGAACACCTGTTCTACTTACGTCCCAGGATGATGGGAGCTTTACCAACACAAGACCCAGGTGGGAAGGCTTCGCTACTTGGTCTTAGAATACACATTGCTGTGCTTGAACTCTTCTTAGCTAAACTCAGTGCTACAATAGTGAAAGTTTCCTAGGACCTACCCAGGACTGATGTAGATTGGACAATCTGCAATATTAAAACACAAAGCAATGGGACCAGTGTTGTGGTGTAGCAGGTACAGCCATTGCCTATGATACTGGCAACCCATATGGGCGCTGATTCGAGTCCTGGCTGCTCCACTTCTGACTCAGCTCCCTGCTAATGGCCTGGGAAAAGCAGTGTAAGATGGCCCAAGTGTTTGAGCCCCTGCATCCATGCAGGAGACCTGGAGGAAGCTCCTGGCTCCTGGCTTCAATCTGGTCCAGCCCTGGCCATTGTGGCCATTTGGAGAGTGAACCAGAGGATGGAAGATCTATCTGTAACTCTTTCAAATAAAGAATAATAATAATAATAGCCCACAAATCAAGCCTTTCTGGTACCTCCTTCCCTAAAGGCAAAGATAATGCTGCTCTTAGGAGGATAAAAAGTAAAGGCAAATTCTACTGTTCAGCTTTCTGGTCACATTGAACCCAACCCCTCACCCTCTATTCATATGAATTCCCCTAAAGGACATTGCTCAGGACAGCACATAAACACACCATTCCCTAGGTGGGGACTTTATGAATTCCAACCAAAGGGTCTGTATAAGTAGAACTGGGAACTACTGAACTAATTTTAATATTTCTAAACCTTCGCCGAAGGAGATTCTGCAAAGATGAGAGCTTGAACCTTGGACCTAGAGGAAGCCCACCAGCGGGAGGTGAATTGCTTAGGTGAGGACTCCTCCTCCCCTGATTTTAGATGGACAGGGCTAGGAACAGAGATCCTCTGCCCCTCCTCGGGTCCACCCCCACACGCGGAGAGGACGTGGTCTGTGGCAGGTTTGCTACCTACTGTACAACCACTTCTCTTACTGCTTCTCCCCTCCTGTAGTTCTCCACGCCAGAGATCTCATAGCTCGGCCCCAGTGGAGATCAGGAGGCACTCATCCTTTAGCAGGTCAAGAAGAGTCACAATACTCCAGTGGCAGGGGGGAAACGAAACCAGGTTGAAGAACTAGAAAATCTGGCTCTCATGGAAGCAGAACCAGTGAAAAAAGAAGACTACAGTGAAAACAGAATGGGAAGTCCTAAGTGGATATAATTAGAAATTTGAGCATACACATGCATGCAAACACACACACACATACACGCAAAACCCTTTCTGGAATTAATAATCAAAGTTACCAATTTAAAATCTTATTAGAAAAATGAAAAATGTAATAATAAAATTATAGAAGTAAAATAAGAAATACATGGGAAAATATCCATGTAATCTGAAAGATAGGATATCTTTTAAAGTAAGATTGGAAACCTAGATATCACAAAAGGTGGTATGACAGATTTAACTACAAAAACTAACTGCATGGACAAAGGCATAAGCAAGAAACAAAAATATAACACAGAAAACACACAGAAGATCAAATCACTAAGACAAGGTGTTCCTACAAATTCAGCAGAAAGAATATAGTCGTAGGTACTTCTACAAAGTCAACAGGAAACAAAAATGGGCAAAGGATAGAAAAGCTAATTTCCAGAAGAAGTGCAAATGGTTAATAAACATACAATTAGATAGGGAGATGCAAATTAAAACAATAAGATAATTTTTGTAGCCTTGAAATTGACAAAAATAAAAAGGTGATATCCTGGGATGGCAAAGATGTGGGAAAATGTTAACTTTTATACATGTTTGATGAAGTAATAAATTATGAGCTCATTTTTACAAAGATGGCATAATTTATTAAATTTAAAAATATGCATGCCCTCTTATTCAATAAGTTCATGTTTGGAAACTTCTAGTGCCATAATATATAAACACACATACTGTCACATTGTTTGTTACAGGAAAACAATCTGAATGCCAATAAACAGGGATCTGCTTGAGTAAATAATAAATTCCAGTTGTTATATGAGGGAACCTCAAAACATTTATGGACAGATAGAATTAAAAGATAAGTAAATTTTTTTTGAAATCTATGTAGACATTTTTCACAATACATATTTTCCATTTGCTTTTGAAGAATGTTCATGTAACCATGAAATTATACACAGCTATGAAAAAGATCAATCTGTATTGATTTGTCAGGATATGTGCAATAGAATTTTAAGTAAATGCAGCCAAAAAGAAATATGATGAGATTTGTGATAGGATTCCAGCTTAAAAAATGGATGTACCTTCATTTGCATTCATATTTACAAACATTAAGATTCTCAAAGGAAAAGCTTTGACCGACACATACCAAATTACATCAGAAAGTGGGCTTAGAAATGGACACTCTACTTTAGACACTTTAGCATTTTTGAAATGATCAGATAATTTTTAAATTAGCATGATCAGTAGTTCTGATTAGTTGTGTCATCAATTTTACTTTTTTTTTTTTTTTTTTGATAGGCAGAGTGGACAGTGAGAGAGAGAGACAGAGAGAAAGGTCTTCCTTTTGCCGCTGGTTCACCCTCCAATGGCCACCACGGCTGGCGCGCTGCGGCCGGCGCACCATGCCGATCTGAAGGCAGGAGCCAGGTACTTATCCTGGTCTCCCTTGGGGTGCAGGGCCCAAGCACTTGGGCCATCCTCCACTGTACTCCCGGGCCACAGCAGAGAGCTGGCCTGGAAGAGGGGCAACCGGGAAAGAATCCGGCACCCCGACCGGGACTAGAACCCGGTGTGCCGGCGCCGCAAGGCGGAGGATTAGCCTAGTGAGCCACGGCGCCGGCCTAGTTGTGTCATCAATTTTAAAAAGTGGGAAAGTAAATATTTACTCAATGAAGCTATCATAGCAGCTACAAGGGGGAGGAAAACTATTAACAAACAAAAAATGAAAAACAAAAATTGGGTGCAGGAAGATTGGAAACCATGGTTTACTGCCTCACACTGTGTTCTCTCCTTCACTGAAATCACAGTGGCCCTAGGTGGGAAGTCTAGTGGAATCAGTCACACAACAAGCAACTCACCATTGTAGCAAGCCCAGTGGAGTGGTGTGTAGCCTTGGTTATCTTTGAAGCAACAGTCCTCCTCAGAAAGAGCCATCTGGAGCAGCTCACTCAGCCACGTGGCGTGGCCCCTAGCGGCTGCATAGTGCAAGGGCGTCCTTCCTCTGGAATCTTTACAGAGAATTGACACTTCGTCTTCCAGCAGCATCTGCACACACTCTTCGTGTCCTGTCATAATCTTATGCATTGCAATAAATAAACACACACACACACACACAATTAATTTTAGAAGGGCAGAAGCTCAGGCAACAATGCAGTTGGCCGAGGCAGGGCTGACAGTACAATGGACCTACGCCTGGGACACAGAGAAAGCAGACTCTGCACTACTACAGAGCTGGACAACCCCAGCAAAATTCCTAACAGAAAAGTCTAAGATCTGGAAACATCTCTTGACTCTCTGAATATAATCATGACAGGTACCATAATGTGGAGGAAAATATCAGCTTAAAAATAGAGGATGTGAGTGAAATCCTGTTTCTGTCCATGAAACTTAGCAAATCACCCCTCTGTGTCTTGATTTATTCACCTGTAAATATGAAAGTTGTAATGACCTCACAGGTTGCGGTGAGGACTCAGGAGAGGCTATATATAAAGGCTCCCAGGCTGGTGCACAGCTTCCAGGAAGTGCTCCAGAAATAAGAATATGAATTTTGACCATGACCATGGAGAGTTCCTCTTCTTTTTATTTATCAGGGTCTTTGAGACCATCCCCACGTAGCAATTTTATGATTTTCATTTGTTTTCCATTTAGATCATTGGTTGTACATTCAAAAAAAAAATAATTCAGGAGTAGGCACATGGCACAGTAATTGAGACACCACTTGAGACACCTGCATCCAATATCGGAGCGCCGAGGTCTCAGCTCTGTTCCCAGTTGCAGCATCCTGTGCATGCAGGCCTTAGGAGGCAGCAGGTGATGGTTCAAATAGTTGGGTTCTTGTCACAAACATGAGAGACCTGGATTGGGTTCCCAATTTCCAGCTTTGGCCTGGCCCAGCCCCGGCTACTGTGGGTATTTGGGGACTGAGCCAGTGAATGGGAGATCTCTTTCTCTGTCTCTCTAGTTCCCTTTCTGCCTCTCAAATAAACAAAAAGAGTTCAGACTGTACAAAGAATTGACTACAGGATATATATTTCAGCTTCATTTGTAATAAAGAACAATTAGAAATAGCATAATTATTCAAAATCAGGTAATCATGGAAATAAATTAGGTTACTTGCACACAATGGAGCATTAAGAATGATGGCAGAGAATATTCAGTGACATGGAAAAAAGTCCTTGATCTATACTAACAAAAAAAGCATATTCCGAATAGTTTCTTCAGTAGTCTCTTTTGAAATTTAAAGTAAATTCATATACAGAAAAAAGGAAAAGGCTGGGATATATATGCATTCTCTCCAGGAGGTATGATTACCGGTGATTGTGATTTTCTTCTCTGTGATTAGTGGGTTTTTTTTTGTGTGTGTGTGCAAATTTTCGATGATGTTCATGTATTTTGTAATCAGAAAGAAAAACCAATTCCATCAACCATAGGTGTTCACAGATCCATTATCAGAATCTAACAAGAAATCTTAAAAGCAGGACCTAAGTGGACCTTTCATTATTTTACCTTTGCAAAAGATTTCGTAATGTCTTTTTGACCGAGATTAATCGGTTATACTCAGTTTTATAGGGGAAAAGAGGAAATAAATTCATGGGAAAATTGCTTGACTAAAGCTGAGAAAGATATACATACCCCTCTGTGTAAAGCTGTGCATCCCATGATGTCAACAGCATCTACGTTTGCTTCCTTTTCAAGTAACAAAGAAACAGCATCGATATGTCCATATGCTACTGCGAGCATCAGTGGGGTTCTAGGGAGAGAGATATACTGCTTTTATAAACGTGCACACTTTCAGCCGGAGGACAGCTTTTAATTCTTGGACACTGCTTAATATTTTCTGAGTGTTCCCAGTTTGCCATAAGCTATGTGGAACACACTATCTGCCTCTGCTCTAATGCCATGTAGAGTGGTGTCAGTGGAATGAATCCCAGGGGTGGGGAGGGGAACCTACAGGGGAAGGTTCCTTCTCCAGATATTCCTGTGAACCCCACCATTTTCAGGGCTACGCAGCACTTACTAAATATTAATTGGGCAAAGAAGCTGTTTACGTAGAAAACCCTCTTGCTTCTCTCAGAGCAGCTCTACGTTCAGAGCATTCTATGTTGGATTGCTGCTCAAGACGTCATCCTGACAAAGCTTCACTTCCCTCAAGAGAAGTCGAGTGGGGAAGAACAGAGAGCTAAGATGCAGGAAGTGAGATCCTGGGTCAGCTGACAGCATTGACTCACACACCTGGGGCTCGCCACAAGTGCTCTTTGCCTCCGCATTTCCTATTTGTAAGAGAATACGCCAACAGATAGAAAATACTTTGAAAAATCAAACTTGCGGAAAAGTAAATGTACAAAGGTTACTTAGTGATGATCTCGTGAGGTTTGTCCTACTGCCATTATTCATTTAAACCTGGTAACGTAGCAGCTTCAGAAGAGGATGTGAGTGGGTAGGAAGAGGGAACCAAGGAAGGGGATAGTTTCAAAAACGCAGGAAACATGGCCACAGTCTTTTAAAGGCGGTAATTCTCATTAAGATATGCACACATCCACTCTTCTTGGATGCACATTATAGCACAAAGCTAGAAATTCACCCAAATGTAAAAAACTTCAAAAAAGTTCATGAAAAATGCATATTTTGAAAAAACTATGCATGGATTTTTTTTTTTTTTGACAGGCAGAGTGGACAGTGAGAGAGAATAGACAGAGAGAAAGGTCTTCCTTTTGCCGTTGGTTCACCCTCCAATGGCCACCGCGGCCAGCGCGCTGCAGCCGGCGCACCGCGCTGATCTGATGGCAGGAGCCAGGTACTTATCCTGGTCTCCCATGGGGTGCAGGGCCCAACCACTTGGGCCATCCTCCACTGCACTCCCAGGCCACAGCAGAGAGCTGGCCTGGAAGAGGAGCAACCAAGACAGAATCCGGAGCCCCAACTGGGACTAGAACCCGGTGTGCCGGCGCCGCAAGGCGGAGGATTAGCCTAGTGAGCCGCGGCACCAGCCCAACCTACCTCTTGTGATTGAAATGTCAACCCAAGGCCAAGTGTGAGAACACTTACTGTCCTTTGGCATCTTTCACATCAACTGCTTCTGGGTTGTCTGCAATTTCTAGTAATAGCCGCAAACATAGGGTATGGCCGTTAATTACTGAAAAAGAAAATAACAGACATTCTTTTAACAGACCAACACTACAAATATCCCTTGAAAATAAATTTATTTGGACTTCAAATCAGTGGTTTTCAATGGCTGCCAACAAATTCTCCTGGGTTTCCAGTTCATAAATGCTTCCTGACAAAGTCTGCACCAGTGTTGATCTCTCTCCCCCCTTCATTCTATCAGGGCCTTTTGCTTCTCAAGTTGTATTTTATTTGTTCATTTGAGAGACATGCACAGATAGAGGAGAGAGAGGGAGAAGGATTGGGAGAAAGAGAGAGAGAAGGGCGAGCAGTCCAACCAATAGTTCACTCTCTAAATACCTGCAAGGGGTGAGGAGTGTGAAGCGGGGAGCTGGGATCCAGGTCCAGGTCTCCCAGATGGGTGGCAGGAACTCAGTCCCCTCCTGTCTCCTGGGTCTGCACTGATATGGGACAGGGGTATCCTAAACCATGGAGTTACCTCTAGGCTAAATGCCTGTATCACCAAGGAGCTGGCACTTTGATACTCACCTTTATTTTCTGTGAGTTTTGTTCAAATTGAGGTCCTTTCTTGTCTCCTTGCATGGAACTGATAATCTCTCCCCACTTCTCTTTTTCATCCCTCTAAGTCAGTCACCCAATTTTATCTCATTACGCTGTGTCTGCCCTGCCTCTAGCCTTTTGCTAAAAGGAAGAAGGGGGGAGAAAAGGGAGTGGAGGGGGAAGGGGAGACAGGCAGACTGAAAATCAGGCTGGAGGAGCAAGGAGATGAAAAGAGGAGAGCAGAGGAGAGAGGGGAGGAGAGGAGAGGAGGGAGGAGAAAGGAGGGGAGAAGAGAACAGGTCCTGCGTCTTCTTCTGGGTCATCTTGCACTGGGAGGGGGAGCTTCCTACAACGTCCCGATTGATTACTGGTGGGCTGAAGCCAATCCTCGAGCTGATCCGTCCAGTCACTGCTGGGTGATGATTGCCTGGCACTCTCAGGAGACTCATGACTGGGACCCTGCGCAGGAGGACATCCTGGTGCTCTCCGACCTAGTCCTTCCCTTCTCTGCCTTCCAGGTCTCAAGCGCGATGTGGCGCCACTCCTGCTGCCTCCTCATCTTCCTTCCCCTGTCTGACTTGACTCGAATACCTCCAAGTTCCTTACTTGGGGGCTGCTGTAGGCTCCTCGCCCAGTGGGCCAAGTGAGTCCAGAAGTGGGCAGGAACTTGGGCCACAATGTGTTAACCTTGATGAGCTGGGGCGGGAACACAGGGACACACCCTGTATGCACCTGGCCAGTTGCTTCTGTTAGGAATTGGTGGTGCCACATGGGCTGGGAAGTGAACCTCTTGTGATGGCAGTACCTGGGGGGAGGCTCTATTCTCAGCGTGTTAAATGAACCCCCTAAAAAGCCTTACAAAAGACATGGATTTCCAGTCAGGGAGTAAGATGGGAACAAATATGTTTAAAATTCTAAACATGACCTTCTCCCCCCTCTGAATAATAACAACACCATAAAGTACATTGAATTTGCCTCGTTATGGATGTGGAGAGAGAAGGGAATAGACAAAGCTATGTTCAGTTGTTAAAGGATCTGCTAAGAACCGTGTTTTACAGTTCTTTTTATTGTCCGCCGGTCATCAGAGGCTGCTAATTTAACCAGGACACAGTTTTCAGGGACAATGCATATTAGAATTAGCTCACATTCATCCACATCACTCAAATGAACAATAAGAAAAATGCCACATTTTGCAGACTAGTGCATTCGGCTCATTCTTTGCACCAATACATTTATGTATCTCAGGAGGAAATTTTGGGGATTGGAGTGCAGGTAATATACTGCTGTTTTGTTTTTGCTTGTACAATTATACTAAATCTGTTACCACTGGCAAAATATGCAAGGAGTTGAATGTATGCCTGAGAGGAAATGATGAGCAAAGGACTGGCAGCTAAATACTACAGGTGATGGGTTTGGAAAGTGGAGGAACTGTGTATTTCACCCGTTCCTCTTTGCGTTCAATCTGATATTTTTAAATATTCAGAATCATTCCAAGGATATTTAATTTTTACTAAACATAAGGAGAAGAAAAAATCATCTAACTCAAATCACTCACCAAGCATGCTGAATAGCAAAGTAATTTCTGCAATTAGGCTTGTCTTTGGTACAGATGTCTACTCTTAGCTAACGGTCTTCAGATAGATTTAAGTTCCCCTGACAGTAAAAGCACAGCCAAACTCAGGTTCTCATTGGCTGCCCATATACTACATTTTTCTCAATTGTTGTTTAGTAAAAAGATGCTATTTTCCTTCGCTGCACCCTGCCAGGTCCAGCTTTGTCTCAGTCTCTCCCTGGCTGTGAGTGACAGCTGTTTTTCAAAGACCACATCTGTCACTGCACTCATCTACGCCAAAACCTCGGGCACCTGTCCTAGCTCTTGTTCCTCATGGTAGTCTGAGGACTTGAAACAACAACAGAAAGATCTGGCGTCTCGAGTGAGTTGAAAAGACTCAACAGGGAGGATAAGCAGGTCCTCCCTGCACTGTCAGATTCTGCAGGGCAGACATCTTGTCAACAGTCAGAAGGCAGTCTCCATAGCAGGGGGAGCTCCAAATGGAGAGAGTCGCCTTGACCACTGGGGGGCTCCATTGGACCACGCCTATGTCACAGTGGCAAAGGACTGCTCAAGGACTGTTCCTCACCGATTACCTATTTAGAAGGGTGGTTTTCCACAATAGAAACAAGCTCTTTGTAATGATCAGGTATTACACAAGAACTAAAGTACTATCCTTGTTTTAATCACGGGCAGCTAACATAAAAAAGGAGAACGAAATCTGAACTTCATAATACTATGAGAATGTCTACGAACAAGACTAAAGTAATGGAAAATAGGAATTTATAATGTAACCATAGCAACCATCACTGGCCCAATGATTAATTTCCAGGTAATTATACAGGGTTTTCAATCTCTGTGTTGTTTTTCTGTAGCAGCTTGGAAATTCAAGATGGAAATATTTCTGCCAGGTCCATCATGCTGAGAAAATTTCCCCAAGCAATAAGAATCATAAAGTCTTTGACAAACAATCTTCACTCCTTTGCTTTAATATACCTATTATTTCACTGTGTAACAACTACTTTTCCTTATAGGAATGGCATCTACCACCTCATCAAGGGCTGGTATCACTGGATTTCCTGAACTACCTTCCTACTCATATGTGTGCACTTATCTAGAAGTGCCTCCACACAGTTTTTCACATGCATTGGGTAACATCCCTAGAAAAGAGAAATTCCTTACTTTTAGCAGTAAACATGTATTTTCTTTAAAAGCAAAAAAGTCTCTATGTGTATTTCTGATGCATCAAGAATTAGCTCAAAAGCCAAGAAGCATCACTGAGGCTGGCAGGATGCTGTACTAATTAAAGTATCGTCTGGCTGTAATATGACTGGTTTAGATCTGTAATTGATGCACAGTTATTCTTAAGTGTTGAAAATTAACTGAAATGTGATCCCTGTTGAACATGGTGGTGGGAATGGGAGAGGGAAGAGATGTATAATTTGGGACATGCTCAGGCTGACTTGCCCCAAGTGGTGGAGTTGGAAGCATACCAGGGGATTCCAATTCAATCCCATCGAGGTGGCATGTACCAATGCCATCTCACTGTTCCAGGTGATCAGTTTCAGTTCACAGTTGGTCATGGTGAAGGGACTGGGAGTCAAAGGGAACACATAGACAAGTCTAGTACCTGCTAACGCTAACCGATAGAATAAATAAAGGGGAGAGTGATCCAACATGGGAAGTGAGATACTCAGCAGACTCATAGAATGGCAGATGTCCTAAATAGCACTCTGGCCTCAGAATCAGCCCTAAAGGCATTCGGAGCTGGCTGAAAAGCTCATGAGAGTATTTCAGGCATGGAAAGCCAAGACACTCTGGCAAAAGATCTCTGTGAGTGAGATCTCAGTGGAAAGAACAGGTCATCAAAGAAGGAGGTACCTTTCTCTGAAGGGAGGAGAGAACCTCCACTTTGACTATGACCTTGTCTAAACAAGATAAGAGTCGGAGAACTCAGAGGGCTTCCATAGCCTTGGAAACTCATGACTGGAGCATAGGGAGATTACTGATGCCATAGACAGGAGTGTCAATTGGTAAAGTCAACAACAGGAGTCACTGTGCACTTACTCCTCATGTAGGATCTCTATCCTTAATGTGCTGTACATTGAGATTTAATGCTATAACGAGTACTCAAACAATATATTTCACTTTGTGTTTCTATGGGGGTGCAAACTGTTGAAATCCTTACTTAATGCATACTAAACTGATCCTCTGTAAAAACAAAATAGAAACGAAATTATCAATTCCCAACTTGACTCTCACTGGGATTAAACATGACAATAGGTCTGCTCTGATTTCATCATCATTTAAAAAAATCATCTATTATTTTTCACTTTATGTTTCTGTGTGGGAGCAAACTGTTGAAATCCATACTTAATGTATACTAAGCTGATCTTCTGTATATTAAGATAATCGAAAATGAATCATGATGTGAATGGAAGGGGAGAGGGAGTGGGAAAGGGGAGGGTTGTGGGTGGGAGGGACGGTATGGGGGGGAAGCCATTGTAATCCATAAGTCGTACTTTGGAAAATTATATGCATTAAATAAAAGTTTAAAAAAAAAATAAATAAATAAATAAACCTTAAAAAAAAAAAAAAAGTATCGTCTGATGACTCCTTATATGAAAGAGCTTTGAAATACGAATTGTTATGCTTCAAATGCTGTTTGATTTTGATGAACTGACTCTACGTAAATTATTCTGAAAATTGTGCCACACCTTGTGCTTTTTGTGGTAGACTTTGGCCAACAGTTCTGAACGCTTTTTTGAATTAAGAAAGAGGGCCAGGGGCTGCTTGGTCAGAGACCACAGCAATCACCTTCAAAGGGATAGCATATGAAAAGCACTTGGAGGCATGTAGGTAAATCTCATGCAGGAAAACTAAATACCTGTATTTTAAAAATCAGAATGAAAGAAGATGCTACCATCCTTTTATTCAAACTTATGAGTGTGCCACAAAACTAGGGTAACCAGATTCTTGGCAAGATGACCTACCTGAGGCATGAAGTGGGGTTCTTTTGGTTACATTGTCTTTCACAAAGATGGATGCACCCTGATTGACAAGTGCTTCCACACATTCTGTGTGTCCCTTAAAGGCGGCCAGATCCAGAGCGGTGCGGCCTTTCTCATCCCTGATGTCCAGGTCCACCAGTGACTGCAGAAGAACTTCCAGGGCTTGGTGGTGCCCGTTGTACGCCTGCATAGAAGAGACCAATGGCCCACATGCTCCCGCACCTCAGGGCCCACACCAATCCTCCCAAGGAGCTGAGCCTCTGAGGTCACAGACCAAGGCCACCCCCACAGGCACACCAGACAGACAGCTGGGATAATGATTGAAACTGGCAAACTGGACAGCCAGACGGAGAGACGGTGATGCACAGACTTCACAGTTACCCGTTGATTCCTCCTTGCTCTTGCTCTTGTCAATAAACGTGCTCCAAAAGCACTAAGTGCATTAACACATGCTTATTATACCTATTGACCTGGAAATCTAATATACAATAGTAGCTGAATGACTATATCTGTCACTTCAGCCCTAAACATACTAACTTAATCATAAATTTTTTTCAGGAGTCCTTTCTGTTAGCAACCCTGGGAAAATAAGCTATAAAAACATTGTGGACTTTGGGATTTAACAGAGGCACATAGATCCATTTAGAGTCTAACACTTTACTAATTCCCTTCCATGTGACCTTAGGCCAGTTCCTTAATTTCAGTTAGAGCTTGTTTCCTCATCTGTCACATGAGAGCAATAGATGCCGTCTCCTCAAGTTGCTGTAAGGACAAAGAGATTAAACGGAATAGACTTTGCATAATATCTGTATGTAGTTGATGCTTCTCTCCTTTATTTCCTCCACTGATTATAGTAAAAACATAGACTCAATTATGGGAATACCCTACCACTAGCACCAAGTTCAGACCTATCATGAGGTCTACTACTATGTCAAGATGAACAGGCTTCATACCTTTAGACAACAAAATTAAAAACCCGAACATTTTTATTTAGTCCAAAAGGTCAAAAAAAAAAAAAAAAGTATCCACACACACAAAAAGGCAAAGGTAAAGGACACAAAACCGAAGAGAGTACGGTTATTTGGTGGGGAGGGAGGATCAGTGCGGCAGGAAGGTAAGGAGAGAAAAGGAGAGAAACGGCCCGTCCCCAGTGTCTGCAGGATGTCAGTTTCCTCCTGTGCCACCTGGGCTTTTTATTTTTCCACAGCAGCTCTTAAACCAAGCATAATTTATTAGGGAAAAAAAAAGCTTAGCACAGAAAAAGGACCAATTCCCTTCTTATACAAGGAGCTCTTAGAAACAATTTTTAAAATAGTAAAGTGCATGAAAAGAAAACTCACAGAAATAGAAGTATAAAACGTGTACATTTTTAAAGTGCTTTTTTTCAACTACCAGATTGGCAATGATTAAAAAGCTTATCATGTCCAGTATTAGTGAAGACTGTGAAAAAAGTGATTTTAGATTTGGTGTGACATTTGTAGAAGGTGATTTAACAAAATCTACCAAAATTTATAAAAAAAGAAACTGAAGTTTCAGGTAGTACATACAACATGACCTCGTTTATGTAAAAAGCAAACACATCCATGCATGCACATTTATGCCTATACATACTTCTATAGACATAGAACATATTTAGAAGGCTACAAAGAAACCTTTAATGGTGGTTATCTCTGGAACTAGAGGGTGGATAATAACATGGACTTATTTCACCTCTTTTAAAAAAAGGTTTGAATGCTTTCTTTTGAATAGATGTTAACAATAACAAAAACTACATTTGAAGAGTCCACAGAAATTAAGAGTCATGATAAATGTTTTTTAAATTTCCATTATGTTATTTTTGTTTATGAGTATGGTTGTGATGCTACACATTAAGCACATCAATTACACGGTTACACTCTATATAACATTTGGTCAACAATGGACAGCATGTTGGGTGGAATAGACTAGATGTGTGGCAGACTACACAATCTACGTATGTGTATGTATGCTCTATGATGTCTGCACAATGATGAAACCACATAGGTGCCGGCGCTGTAGCTTAGCAGGTAAAGCCGCCACCTGCAGTGCCAGCATCCCATATGGGTGTGGGTTCAAGTCCTGGCTGCTCCACTTCTGATCCAGCTCTCTGCTATGGCCTGGTAAAGCAGTGGAACATGGCCCAAGTCCTTGGGCCCCTGCACCCACAAGGCAGACTTGGAAGAAGCTCCTGGCTTCAGATAGGCACTGCTCCGGCTGTTGCGGCCATTTGTGGAATGAACCAGTGGATGGAAGACCTCTCTCTCTCTGCCTCTCTGTAACTCTGCCTTTCAAATAAATAAATCAATCTTAGGCCGGCGCCACGGCTCACTAGGCTAATCCTCCGCCTTGTGGTGCCAGCACACCGGGTTCATTCTCCAATGGCTGCCGCGCACCGCGCTGATCCGATGGCAGGAGCCAGGTGCTTCTCCTGGTCTCCCATGGGGTGCAGGGCCCAAGCACTTGGGCCATCCTCCACTGCACTCCCTGGCCACAGCAGAGAGCTGGCCTGGAAGAGGGGCAACCGGGACAGAATCCGGCACCCCGACCGGGACTAGAACCCGATGTGCCGGTGTCGCTAGGCGGAGGATTAGCCTAGTGAGCCGCGGCGCCGGCCTATAAATAAATCTTAAAAAGAAGGAAGGAAGGAAGGAAGGAAGGAAGGAAGGAAGGAAGGAAGGACGGACCTAGTAGTATGTTCTCAGCATGTATCCCCTCTGGTTAGTGATATACGATTGCATATAACAAGTAGTCTAATAATTCATATGGTGAAGAATCCCAAATTTACATTCCAGTCCTAACTTTTCCCTTTAATTCTAGACTTTATATAGAACTGTCTATTGCTATCTCCAATTCTTAACCCCCCTGCCAAATACGCTCCATCTGTAACTTCCCCATCTCAGTAAATGGCAACTTTCTTCTTCTAGCTGTTCAGGCCCCAGACTTTGGAGTCATCTTTGTCTTCCCTCTTCTTAACCCTGTGTTGTAGCCCTGAACAAGGACTCTGGGACAACAGGGTAGGTCAGCACACCCTGGCATCTCCTGGTACAGGGCTGTGTCCAATCAGAGGAATGGACACCACTGCTAACTCACAAAGAGGGGTCATTCATTCTCAGGTATCTGGCTGGAAAACAATTACCCAACTCTTGTTCTAATTCATACAAAGGCGTTGTTACTAACAGCAACCCTCAATGCCACTTCCAAGGCATCGTCATCTCTACTCTTTCCTTAACATAAATCGAGAATCTCTCCATTTCTCATTATCCATATTCCCCACCTTGTTCCACCAGGAACAAGGAAGCACAGGCTTCCTCTCTCATCCTGGTCCCCTGTAACCTCTTACTGATACAGCCACCAGATGAAATCCTTTAAAACCCACATAGGATCATGTCACGCCTTGCTTAAAACGAGCCTATGGCTTCTTCCCTGTCGACAACAAAATCCAAAATTTCCCATGGTGACCTATCAGACCCTCAGGATCTGGCCTTTCACCACAGTCACCCTCACTCACTCTGTTCCTGCCTCCAGTTGAATGCACACATCCCCTCCTCTAGGCCCTAACATCTGCGCTCCATTGCCTCTGCCTGGAAAGCCCTCCGGGCAGAGAGTCAACACAGCTTTCCTGGTACTTTTGCTCAGATTTCATTTTATCACAGTGGCTTCACAGAGCAGCCCATGTGACACGGCCTCCACCCTCTATCACATATATCCCAGTCACTTTCCACCCCTGACCTCCAGGTCACCTTTCCCACCTGGTACCTGTTATGTCTGAAGGGATGTTAAGTGGGCTATTCATTGCTGATGCTAGAATCATGCCTGGCACAAAGTAGACATTCAACAATTACTGATATACAAAAGAATGAATACAGTTGTTATTTCATTAGTATTAATGGTAGAAATGAATTTTTTTAAAGATTTATAAATTTTACTTCAAAGTCAGAGTTACGCAGAGAGAAGAGACGCAGGGAGGGAGGGAGGGAGGGAGGGAGAGAGAGAGAGAGGTCTTCCATCCAATGGTTCACTCCCCAATTGGCTGCAATGGCCAGAACTGCGCCGATCCAAAGCCAGGAGCCAGGAGCTTCTTCCGGGTCTCCCACATAGGTGCAGGGGCCCAAGGATTTGGACCATGTTCCACTGCTTTCCCAGGCCATAGCAGAGAGCTGGATCAGAAGTGGAGCAGCCGGGACTTGAACCGGCACCCATATGGGATGCCGGCGCTTCAGGCCAGGGTGTTAACCTGCTGCCCCATAGCGCCGGCCCCAGAAATAAATTTTTTGACATAACATGTATTGAGGGCTTTTTATGTGCTGGAAAGTATTCTGAGCACTTTATCATCTATTTTGATCTTTGAAAACATTCTTTTTATAGACAAAAAAAAAAAACACAAAGCAAGCAACATTAATTAACCTGCTCAATTAGCTTTGTCATGTTGCTAATACATGATAAAGTCAGAATCTGAACCCAGTATCTATGACCACTAAAACTCATAGTTTTAGGTGCCGTCTTACAATTTCTTTCTAATAATTCTACTTAACTGATTTTCAAACTAAATATTTTTCTCATTTTGTGTGATAAATAACAAATATTAAATCAGAAACCTAATCCCATCTTCTAGAAGGCTCAACCCAGAGGTAACGTGACTTGAACAGAAACGAAGCAAGAATATACCTGTGGGACCAACTTCTAGACTACTGCTCTTTCACTTCACACACTGCCTCTCCTGAGACATTAAAATAAATTCCTGCATGTTCAACTTTCAGATCTATATCAGCTATGCAAAGAATAACTACGTAGGACAGTAAGCTTTAATAGAACCTAAATCCTGAAGCTACAGCTAACTTTGAGTACTTGCTGTATCATGTGGTGCTGGACAGGCGTCACCTCCTTTAATTTTTATCATATCCATGATTATCCCCACTTTAGCTATGAGGACACAGAAGGCTTCCATGGTTATACAGCCTGATGTGGAAGAAACAGGCTTGGAAGGTAGATCAGGCTGACCCCACAGCCAGGGCCTTTCAGGAGCGTACAGGGAAGGGTACAATGTGGCTGTAAGGTATATGCTCCCTTGACGTTTTATTATTGGAAATTTCAGTCATACACAAAGAAGAAAGAATTTCCACGAAGCCTTCACCTAGTCCCAGCAATTATCAACTCAAGACATAGATG